GAAACGTTCGTGGAGAGAACCTCCAGAAAAGCCAAAGTTATGCGGCCACAAATGACGATCAGGTTGCTAAAACACCTCATTAAGGCATGGTTCATGTGTCTTCTCTGCGGCAACATTACGCACACCAAGCCAAACGTAGTCTACTTCGCTACGAAACCTCTCCTTTCCTCTGCCGCACGCCTCTGTCGTCATTTTGAAAGCCAACAACGCTCAGAAGAAGTGCATAGCTCCAGCAAGACTAGTACCCGCAGCATCTGCACCCAAATACGCTCTCCCCGCCTACTTCTTTCCCAATCTATCGCGGATGGCCTGCAGGAAGGCACATTCCAACAGTACCCTTCTCTCCCACTAGACGTCCCCATTACCACTACCCGACGGTGCACGAGCCATGCAACCATCCTTCACCGTTTGGAGATCCGGGTCTGCACTTCATTCCATTGAAATACAACATGTTTCCAAAAAGGCCAATCAGTAAAGACATACCTATGTTCACCCTCAACCATCCACCCGAACGACCGACCTACCGACTGACCGCCCGCCCGCCCGCCCGCCCGCCGGTCGATCGATCATATCAAATCGCAGACCAGGAATACCTACTGCCGGAAACCGACTCATCTGCCTTCAGACTAACCCAAGTTACACCCCACTACTCGCGCCGCCGCCGTCCACGACCTAGAACATCCTACGTGGTGCGTCTAACTCACGTCGCAACAAACAGTGCGTCCGTAGGCCAGTAGTGCAGCATCTCTAGTCCCTGGCATGGATTAAGGTCAAACCAAAGTGGCCGCTCGTACTCGCATCCAGAAGAGATCATGGGCTCCACTCCCGCGCGGCACCAGATAGGATTCATGTACCTGCGTACTGCACAGCAATAATCACCGCCGTTGGCACCAATACGTCCGCTCAGTCTTCAAGATCGTAAACTCCGGCATCAAGAACTGCGAACGCGTCCACACTGTCCGCGTCCGTGTTAAGTCTCACGCAAATTAAACGGGTTGGCCTGACAGTGCGGTCAGCCAACGCCCCCCCCCCTCCCCCCCTCCCTCCTCCATCAGAAAACCCTACACTAATGGATTGGGAACACAGCTGATGACATCCAAGATGTAGACAAAACTTCCTCTCTGATAATATGCCGGAGGCGACATGCTGTCGATACCGCATCTGTCTTGCGAAACCCATTGAGGCCGCATTCGACACGCCGCCTCACCCACTGATTTCGCCAATGCCATGACTCAGGCCTTCTCCCATAGCAATCCAACCACACTACACCCAACTGTCTAATGCTCAAAAATCATGCCTGAACGAAGGACCGAAATGGAACATAACTTGCCTAAGACCATCAGGCAAAAATCACTTAAACGAAGACTGCCCG